GCCTATCATGTCGCGTTGTGACTGTGCTGTCTGTCAGCACATCTCAGACAGCGCTAGAGAACTCGGACGGGTGGAGGGATGCAGGCATTTATCGAGTCAGATGATAGGTGATGGCGTGAAGTTACAAGGCGATCAGAGCGGAAGCAAGGAGCATTCCAACGTCTATGCGGAGATGTAGGCAGTGCACTATAACGAGCTCGACGACTCCGGCCAGGACGAGGAGGAGGAGGAGGAGGAGGAGGAATCGACATCCCTTGACAACTTTTTGCACACAGCAACAACAGAGTGGAAGCTCCTCGGAGGCTCAAGGTGAGGAGGAGGAGGAGGAGGAGGAGCAGGGGAGGGAGAAGTGAGCGGATCAACTGACATGATGGCAGGGATAGGGAAGGAGGAAACAGCCAAGGTGAGGTCAAAGTTTGCTCCAATGTCGCCCGATGACGGTAAACAGGGATCAGAGAAGAAGAAGAAGAAGAACAGGAAGACATGAACAGATCTTGTATGAACCAACGTGTTCATGTTACTTGTATCTTTTCTCTTCATCATCCTTCGTATCCTCCACCGCCTCCTCCTCCTCATCGTCGTCGTCGTCGTCGTCGTCGAAACAATTGGCATCATCTCATCGACTTGTTCATTCCACGTTGTCTTTCGCTGCAAGAGCTTTTTCCAACTTTGCAACCTGAGAAATAACTCAGTCACGGCAATCCCTCCCTCCCTCCCTTCCCCTCCCTCCCCTCCCCTCCCCTCCCTCCCCTCCCCTCCCTCCCTCCCCTCCCTCCCCTCCCCTCCCTCATCCTCTACCTGCTCCTCGTGAGAACTCGACTTGGCAAATCCGAGCAGCCTGCAGTATCATCACACGCCGCTCAACAGCATCTTCATCTTCCCAGCCTCTCCCTGCATGCCCCTGATCCCTCCTCCCTTTCTTCCCCCCATCCTCCTCTTCCATTCTCTCCCCGCCCCCTCCTCTCCCTCTCTTCCTCTCTCCCTCTCTCCCTCTCTCGATCTCCTCTGCAATTGCTCCTCACCTGTACACTAGAACTCTTCCTGTGCTGTCGCCAGCAACGATGACGTCGCTGTTGGGGAAAAGAGGATGGAAGAAGGCTGAAGAACGACAGTCGTAAGGAGGAGGAGGAGGAGGGGATAAAGAGGAGGAGGAGGAGAAGTGGTTCAAGAGCAGAAGAAGCCAAGGGCGGAAACGAGGAAACAGAGGAGGAATAACGCAGAAGGGAGGAGGGTGGGAGGAGGGAGGAGGAAGGCAGGACGAAGAAGAGAGGGAGGACGAAGGAGAGGGAGAGGACGAAGGAGAGAGAGAGGACGAAGAAGCAAGGGAGGAACAAGCTCGATTGCATGTCCTCTTACCTTTGCAGGGAGAATTTCTTCGGTCAAGATGGGGTCAAGGGTAGAAATCGACATGTCCCAGATATTGATGTAGCCATCTCCTGCTCCTCCTGCATAAGACCTCCAAATGCCTCCCCCTCCCCCTCCCCTTCCTCCTCCTCCTCCTCCCGCTCCCCGCTCCCCGCTCCCCCACCCCGCTCCTCCTCCTTCTCCTCCTCCTTCTCCTCCTCCCTCTCTCTCTCTCTCGTTCTCTTTCTCTCCTCCCCTCCCTTCTGCCCCCCTCCCCTTCACTTCCCCCACCTGACACGGAAGCGAAGAAAAGCCTCAACTGTCG